GACTTCATAAACTAGGATAAAACCACCATGTGTTTTGGCATGCTAAACTGCAGGTCCACCACAGTCCTAGGATGCCTTGGTTCAAAAGTTTAACTACTTTTAACAATACAAGAGAGACTTCAATATTGAGTAATCAGCTTAAGATCAAAACCTCTAGTCTGTAACAAATATTTTGATGTGAGAGGTAGTGGTTCTTTTTCAATGTTATTCTCAACTTTGGATGAAGAAGCCAAATCATGTTGTTTGTAATAGGGGCATCTTACATTGTAATTAACATGGATAAAATATTTTTCTTCTCTATTCTCAATATTCTAAGCTGTCTAAATAATAGAATGTTAATCATTTTAAATCATATTACACCATCAATGTATTGAAATAACAAAACATATCAAGATTTATAGCAACATAACAAAAAGGAGGGGGAAAAAGTTCAGCTAATTTTCTTGAGAAGGGGAAGACAGCAGATGAAGCGTTCCAGATGCCAACTTTTTCCTTCAGCCCAAAAATGATTGAATGCTGTTCTCTTTTTACACGTGTCTTTCTCGTACATCAATATTGTACATGCTTTGTCATCAACTGCCTTCTTTCCAAAACACATGCCCTTCAAATCCAGTTTTTGCTGGTAGATGACCCCAAACAGTGAGCAATCTAACACGTGGCCTACTCTGTCCACATGGCTACTTAACAGTCCCAACCCTAAGTAATCATTAATCTCTCCCGTCCAGGTAGTTAAGAGTCTGTAATCCGTCCACACTATCCTAACACCTCCGTTGCATCCCAACAGGACAGTGAAATCATCCCAAACGTGCAAAGCAGGAAATAGATTTGAAAATCTCTGAGAAAGAGGTCACTTGAGGCTCCCTACGTTTGCACTAGATGGGTTAATCTCCTATAAGCAGCTCTCTCTGGGTTTTCGGGAACCTTGTCTTCTATATTAATTCATGAAATGTCAGATTTCAAGGCACATCTTGCGAGGCACAGAAGAAAACACACACACACAGGTACACACCACTTTCCAAGTGGGTAGTAAACCTTGCGACGTGCAAAGCAAAAAGCAGAAACCCACATTCCTTAACGTAGTCTTTCAAAAGGCTAGTAATCTTAGCATGACAAAGGAAGGGTTGAGATGACCTTGAGATGATGAGGATATATATGGAGGCCTTTCTGGCCGGATGTCTTGAATTCTTCAGCTATTCACTGTTTTCAAGGGAGGGTTTCCCTGATGACCACTTCTCTTTGGAATTCTCTTCCCAAGGAAAAAGTTGGCAAGAGTAACATAGGAGCTTAAGATGATGCTTTTCCTTCAACCCAACCATGGAATTCTTTAGCCCAATTTTATAGTGCTAGAAACAGCAGCTGTCCAGAACTTCAGGCAAGTTGTTTTCAAGCCTGAATGGGAAAGATACTGGATCTGAACTTAGTTCCACCTCTACGCAATGGCAGCTTTTCACCTCCACCCTTCCCTGTCACAAAACCAACAGCAGGAACATCCAGTAATTAGAAAACAATATTCTGTATGCAATCAACACACAGGGAATTGTGTTCCACGCCTTCAGTAATGGCCAAACGTCCTAGCTGCTGGGAGTGTGAGGACCTTTTTTGATCTGCAAAGTTAAGGATGAGAAATTGCACAAGCAACATGGGGCTTAATGACATCCCTATGTGGACAGTCAACAAACGTTCTGAAGGCTTACCTAGGGGCTAGCTAATGGACTTTGCTAGAGGCTGTTTTGCATAGCTGATTCTTTCCATCTGCACCCAGATCACGTCCTGCAAGATGCTGATTAGCTTATGCCTGGAATCTAAACGAGGTCTCCAAGCCCCAAACTATGCAAACATCAGTACGCTCTCCAAATCTCTATGGCTGCCATGTTGTTCTCAACCATGTCTTCAGTGCAGGAGGGGGAAAGGGAACAAATCTGTATTTCTCTACACGTGCTAATGGTTCATATTAAAACCACCGCTGCTGAGAAAGAGAAATGGAGGGAGAAAGGGGAAATGTTGTGCTTCTCTTTTTGTTAAAAAGAAAAAAGCCCATGAGCCTTTTCCAACGAGAAAATTTTTAAAATGATCACCAGAACTTTGCAAAGAAGTAGAACAAGCAGTTACAAAGATTGCAGAGGGTGCCTCTTGCAAGAATCAAGCCCTGGACCAGTTCAGCTTTCTCCATCCACCAGTCGATGAAAGTTTATGATGGGGGAAACCTCATCCCACATTTCCATGCAAGCAGAGATACACAGAATGGGAGAGAAGCAAAAGAATTCGTCTTACAATCTCATTTTTGCCACGTGCATGTCTCTTAAAGCAAGCTCCTATTCCCCATGGCTGGGACAGTGTCCTTCAGAGGCCAACGTTCATCTCATGATTATCTTCCCCGTGCATGTTGTAAGGCTTCAAAAAGTCATAGTATCCACCAAATAATTTTTATTTGGCGAGAGAACTCACCACCTTATTAAAATCTCAGAAACTCAGTTTCTCGGGGTCAGCTGGTCATATGTCTTGATCCTGGCTTTGAATCGGTAGTGGAAAGAGTTAAGATTTCTTTAATTGGGTGACACCACAAGTCTATTCATCTCATCTGTCTTTGCCGATAATGGGGCAGGATTATCACCCTTCCTAAACTTATCAAGCGCTTGTAACAAACGTTCTCTTCCAAGATGCACGTTCTTTTGTTGAAAACTCTACTTGAGCGCTTAATATTCCTGGGTGACTCAAGGGCACTTCTGGTAGGATTTCTGAAGGGGAGGAGAAGCAGTGACTTCCTCCATGGGCTAAAATGCTTCCTCCAATAAAGCAGCATCTGAAATTATGACCGTCAACAGTGGTGGCCAATACAACTTTACATAACTTTATAGTCTATTTTTCACCATTGCAAAAAACAAGGGGCATTTTGAATAATTCCTGGGCAGTCCCCAGGGACAACCCCACACAGATCCCATTACTGTAGTCAAGTTTGATCTGGAAGTGGCCTTGGTTTAGTGTCTAGGATCACTAGGCTCTTTACTGCAATGCAGTACCAATGACCATATTCTTCCCCACTTCTTCAACCATCTGCCACCCTACCCACAAGTAGCACCTTCTATTTATTTTCAGATTATTCCTGCGTTAAAGCCACTGGTGAGTGCACCATTGGAAGACCTGAAAGACCAAGTTAGGGATAGATCCTCATGGAGAAAATCTCTTTGTGGTTGCTAGAAGTCGAAAATGACTTAACAACCCATCATCAATTAAAACTGCTACCAATCCATGTGGGAGATTAAATCAAAACACCAAGGCACATCCCAGCTCTTTCTTGCTATGCCTCCAAAGTCAACTGCCACCTCTTTAAACCAGCTGGCACTAATCAACTACTCCAAATTTCCTTATTAATACTGATCAGAGTGCTTCATCTACCCCAGCCATTTTGCATGCATTAAGGTAATAAAGCTTTAATTAATATATGCACACAGTTCATGTGTTTATGCTGAATAAGGGGGTGGATTTGGAGAAATGAAGCACCAAAAGAATGTTTGCCTACTGAAACGGGCGGACTTTACTCCATTGACACTCCAGCAATGATCCACCATAGTGTTACCTACAAGAAGCACACTCTTTTGAGCGCTTTGGATAAGATCTTTAAACTTCCCTAGCAAGACAGATGCTTCAAGGTTTCTTCCGTGTCCCTCAGCTGAAACTTAGAACCTCAAGCCTTCCTATCTTCTTCCCTTGGAACATGATCAATCTTCCATAGGTTCTCCTTTCTTGGTTCATCATGTGATATATTCAATATATAATGGCTTACAATCCAGGTGTGTGGGGGGGGGGAAGCAAGACTTCTCCAAAACCAGCTCAACTCCTGGTAATGTCATGTCCAGGTAGCACCCCTGTATTTTTCTGGCATTATTTTTCAATCTCCAGTCTACCCAACTGCCCTGAGATTTCCTGACTGTCTCCCACCCAACAATAAACAAACCCCTCACAAACCTTTCTTAGGAGTTTAATCCAACAAACCTGCCCCAAGATTTGTCCTGATTTCAGGGGGAAAAAGAGAGAAACACACTTCCTAAAACTGTCAGAGTTCTTTCTTTGACCAGATTGGTCACAATTTAATAATCTGTCTCCATTAAAACATTCACATGGACTTCTGCTTTCATTTCAAGGATCTCATACTCATTATTTCTTGAGAGATTGGCCATCATTGAAATTGGTTTACCTGGAAATACAGTGCTGGAAGTTCTTCTACACTCTTTGCCATCTTTCTTATAAATTCTGTACCCCAGTCACATTCAGGTAGAACTCTGGAACCCCATAATGGTAACTGGTTCAACATTCTCAAATCTCTAATCTAGCCAGTCTGCTTCTAAAGAATATATGGTATAAATTCCAAAAAAATGTTCTGGTTTTCTTGTACTCCTCTAGCCTCCATAACTCCAAGTTCTCGTCCAGCAAACCCAAGTTGTCTACTCTCTGATAGAGATCCACAGAACTTCTCTTCACAATTTGAAGACTCTAATCTTACTTTAATCTTAAGATTATTCCACACTTCAGTTAATTGCCGTAACGTTTTAATCACATGGAGCTGTGGGTTTATTTTTATGCTGTTATTCAGGCTTTTGGAAATTATGTTTTCTCAAGGGGCGCATTTCAAAAATATATTCCCTACTAGTTTTTTTGAATGCTATAATAGCCATTCTCTGGAGAAGTCTCTAATGCTGGGAAAGGTGGGAGGAAAGAAAAGATGAGGACAACCAGCGGTAACAGTGGCAGTTAGAAGACCTAAATGGCCCGGTTGGGGACAGATCATCATAGAGAAAACTGTCTATATGGTTGCTAAGAGTCGACACCAACTTGATGGCACATTATCAATAGCCGTTGGCCAAGTGCAACTAAAAATGTACAATGCCACTAAATCCATAGGATTCATAAAAATATACAGAAAAATAAGTTTTTTGTGTGAGTTTTCAACTTCCACGATCTTGGACTAAATATAGAGTTCATGTATCAATTCAGAACCCAAAAGATGAGAATTTAGTGTTTTATTAAGTTTAAATCCAGTAAAATATCACAGAGCTCACTCAGCGTCCTGATTTAAAAAAAAAAAAAAAAGGAAAAACTCCAGAAACAGAATTTACCCACCATTCATTCAAAGCAGCTGAAAGAATTAGCTTTTTGTTTTCCCCATCTGCGTTGTTCTTACACCCGGACCTTCCTTTTATGAGAAGCACGTCATAAACTGCCATGTTTCCAAACGTTTGTAACAGTTTATTAGGGGGAGAAAAAATGTTTATAAACCAAGGAAGCTCTAAAGCACCCCAACCACATTCTTTGATGCCCTAAAAAAAAATAAATCATTTTTAAAAAACAAAATAGGAATAAAAAGTTATACATATTAGCCACAAGCCTCAAAGCACATGGGGTTTCCAATCAGATTCAGATCTAGCAGAGTTAACTTCACAGCATTCTCCCTGCAGTTGTTCATTTCTGCTGTTTACACCCACATTTAAGCAAAGGGTTCGCACATTTCCTCTCTCACGCTTGGGCGAGAAAGGACAGGCAACCCCCATCCAGGAGTTGCTGGACTCCAACTCCTATCAGCCAGATGTGGGTGATGGGTTCTGCAATCTAACTGCACCCGAAATATCCTAAGCACCTTCATCCCTGACTTAAAAGGGCAAAGGTTCTGCTGGAATTCTCCCGGGCATTCGTGCGCAAGTTGTCGTATGGGCACATGGGACTTTGCAAGCACGCAATGCCTTGCTTTCTCAATGCCCTCGGTACTCCTGGCAACATGAAGAAAACGGTTTGAAGAATCCTTGGCTGTTAAGTATCTTCCGATTAGAATCAAAGATGCTGGGCTCTTAGACCTTGTCCAGTGAGAGATATGACTCTAGAAACGAGGCGCTGATCACAACCCTGTGGAAGACCCAAGATCGCGCTGTGAACGTCCAGGCCCTGTTTAGCTGGGTGGAAGGTGGACCTCAAGCTGGAACAGGCTTCCTCAAGTTTTAAAAATTCTAGATAGTTTTGCTTTCAATTGTACACTTGGGTGGAGGGGGGACCAGACTCGGCTTCTTGTCCTTCCCCCTCCACCAAAACCAAGCTGCGCGCATGGCGCCACTGGATCGGATTAAAAAACATTCCATGGGCCCAAGTCCCACGGAACTGATATGACCGTCAACTAGATGGTCCCGGGGACAGGACACCAGCCCAGCATCGCCCCGTAACCACCAAACATCTTTGCATCTCGCCGTAAAACTCAAGTACTATTTAGAACAGCGACCTGAAAACGCAGGTGGTTCTAAAAAGGGAAGATTTCTTAAAAAAAAAAAAAGTTAAATAAACTTAAAAGTGCATTTCTCTCTTTCTCTCCTTTTTAAAGAAAAAAGGAAAGCAAAACATTCTGGGAACGTTCCCTTGCATTCCCTTGCACGAGCAAACGTTTCTCAGGGGGTACGGTTGGCCACGCAGTGCTAAGGGTTCAGGGGATGTCATCTAAAAGAAGCCTCTTTTTCCAAAATGATGGCTGAATCTGTTGCTTCCTACCAACCCTCTGCATCAACTGAGAAGACACTCTTAATGCTTTCTGCAACGATCCACTCCAAGGAAGTGGCTGCAACAGATAAATGGCTCTTCCAGAGGTTGCTCCTTAACCTACCCGCTGAGAAACATCTGCCAAGGTTGTCCAGAATCATCAGCACACCATTTCAAACCCACAATCTCAGCCAGGCAGGATTCAACCTGGCGTTGTGTGGCCCTGGGCCTCATCCCTTGCTTTTCAACAATAACATTTAAACCAGGAACCCATTCTTTAGCACCTATGTCATGAAAGTTTCCGCCCAGGGGAAGGGTGCTGATTCACACTTTTCTGAGCTGGAAGAAAAGATCAATATTCCAAAATCCATATGGCGGATTTAGCCCTTCTGTCTCCTTCCCCCATCTGGAAAGAGGGTCACTCAAGTCAATTTCTTTTACATAGAGCATCCATATACATATTATGTACACCAGATATAACCTGACACACACACACACACACATACACACTCACACCAAGAGATGGGAAAAGGCAAGTTCCTTCAAAAATTCTGGAGCTCCGGGATATTACGGTAGAGATCCAGCGTCTCTGGGTTAGAAAAGATGCCCCGCTGAGCCACTTCTTTTCCAGCTATGATCTGTTTGACGGCTACTTCAACCTTCTTCCCATTTATGGTGTACTGAGAAACGGAGGAAAAGTTGGAGAAAGCAAAGCAGACAATTAGAAGATTGTACAGCTGGATTCCATGTTCATCTCAAATGCAATCTGATTTTAATGCAGAACTCCCCTGTAGCTTGAACAAGTTAATGATCTGAACCAGTGTTTCTCAAGCGTGGCAACTTGAAGATGTTTGGACTTCAACTCCCAGAATTCCCCAGCCGGCTGGGGAATTCTGGGAGTTGAAGTCCAAACATCTTCAAGTTGCCATGCTTGGAAAACACTGATCTAAACGCTAAATATCCGATGCCTCGAGTCTTTGAGGTGGCTTAGCTGAGCTTCTGGAAATGACCTTGGGAATAAGGAAGAGGAGAAGACTGGGGTCTAACCACCCCTTTCCCCATCACTTTTCCAGCTGTGGAGGAAGGTCACTACGCAGCACTCAGAATTGTGGGGAAATTGTACGATTAAGAGTCAGCTACCTTTGTCACAGGAAGGAGCACTTCTAAAAGAAACACACCCTGACTTGAGAAGAGACCGGTGAGGACATAAGAACCCCTTCCAGTTGAGGCCAAATGCCCTTCGGTTCTTCTCCGGCCAGAATCGTTTCTCCGGCCATTTCACCTGTCCTCCTCAAACCACCCTGAGCAGACGGTTTTTCTCTCCCCCCTGGCCCCAGGACTATTTCCACCAATTTTCCTATGTGGAGAGTCTTCCAGAAAGGGAGAGGGTTTGAGACTTCCTTCTCCCACTTCTAAACACACACCAATATGGGGTACAAGAGACGTCACAAGGGTCGGGACAGCATAGAGCAACGATGCAATGGACGTCGTGACTCATGTGACATCCTTGGGGCTTCTAGGAGGCACCTACCACCACTGACCAACTTGAGAAGGAGCCCCCAAGTTTCAGTTAGAAGACTTGGCTTTTTCTTATCGTGTTCAAGGACGTTTGGCGCATTTTTCCTCTTTAGATTCTGTGAACAGAACCCACCAGAAAGGAGGCCATGTTCAGATAGACCCAAAAGCCAAAATTCATCACCCCAACATTCTTTTTATTGGGCACGGTGAAGAACGATTCAAGCGCCTCATGGATGAGGACTTATAAAATCAGTACCGTTGTTTTTATTAGGGATTTGCTACTCTTTCCTTACCAGAAGAAAAAGTGAGGCTTTATTGAACAAGATAGGCATGCGTGTATGTTGCTAAGCAACACGGATAAACTATTTATAGATCTCCAATCCAAATTTGCAAAAAAAGAAAAAAAAAAAACTGGCTAGTCATGTGTGAGCGCTAGAGATACCGGCTTCTTAATTATTATTCCAAGGTGGTTTGTTTTTTTTTGGAGAGCGGGGAGAAGAAAAAGTAAGAAATTAAGAACCTACCGGAATGCCTTCTGTTTCCAGAATAAGACCAGGCACGTGTCGAGCCGAAAGGGCCACCCGAATTGCGTCCCTGATTCGCTTCACCAAGTCTGGGCTGAATTCGTGGTTGGTGGTCATCTTCAAGAAAAGGACCACCCTCTCCTCACCGTGTGTGTTGTACTGTGGAACGCAGAGGCTGTCTGAAACCTCCTCGAAAGCTTCCACTGAAGGAGAAATGAGGTGGTAGGTGAAGCATCCTGAACCCAGAAACCCCAGCAGATCATTCTAACATCTTTTGATCCATCGTTGGAGAAGCCCATTCACTGCACACTGAAGTTGAGGAAGCCCATCTTGTAGTGTATCATGAACGGTCTTCTCCAATATGGTCTTCTCCAGAATTCGAAGAACCGCACACCACCATCACTGCCCATTGGAGCTGAGGAAGCCCATCTCATGGTGTATAATGAATTACCTTCTCCAATCTGCTGTTCCTCAAAATTCTAGGCACTGCACACACCCAGCACCCCAACACTTGGCCATCCTGGATAAGAATCTTGAAACAGTGGTTTGGAGAGCTAGCTTAATGCCAAACCAAATCCTCTCCCAGCCACAAAGCTAAATAAGGCACCTGACAGGGTTCTTAAGAGGATTTTTAAAAAGTAGAATGGGGAGGAAAAAAGGAGGATTATTTTCCTTGGAGGAATGATGAAATATTTCGAGAAGGTATGCAGGACTGAGCAAAAAAAAAAAAAAAAAACCCAATAAAGATCAAATCTCTTCTGATCCGAATGATGCCCTTCACGGAAGCTTGCTTCTCAAGGAAATCAAAACCAATGTGGTATATCTCAACCTCCTTCTCTCCCCCAGCCCTCTTGCAGGGGGGCAGGGATGGGGAAAGAGAAGACAAGAGGTTGCTTCCGAAAAATAAAAAGGGGAGAGAAAAAGATCCAGAAGAGTGAAAAAGAAGGCCTTTAAAGTTGCTCCCACAGAGGAAAGAACTCAGCCACAACCCATCCTAGCCCTTTGCAGAGCACGCTGACCACCTCTCTGTGCACCCCCAAGAGTTATGGCAGCAAGCCTCAGCAGCGAAAGGATGATGTGCCCAGGGCAGGGGTCCTGTGGGGCTGGCTGTTCCTTGGGGGCACCTCAGCACCACTTAGGGGACGCTGACACCAGTTGATCAGCGGGCCCGGTGGAAACGCAGGACGGACCAGCGCAAATGCGCCATTCGGACAAGGAGGGCTGGAGATGGCCGGCACGGTTGCAGCCGGGCCAGTGTCTGTAAGGGCCGTTAAGTTCATGCCCACAGCCCGACTGGGATGAGGCCCAGCGAAAAAGTTCATTTCAGCCCGAACCTTAAATGCAAGCCTTTGGAACGGTGCCATCCTCACAGCCCTCCCAGCCTGGTCCTAAAACTCTCATCTGCACACAGGGAAGGCGCCCTTATTTTATCTGACCCGTGATTAAGATTTGTATCCTGCCCTGGCTTTCCCTGGGGCAAATAACTGGAAGAGAACCTTGGCAAAGGAATAGATGAACCGTTCGGAGGGGAAAAGCGACCAATTCAGACCCAGGAAAGTGGAAAAGGTGAGAAAGGAATTCAAAAGAACCCCCTCTTGATTCCGTGGGTTATAACAGGGGGCAGCGGGAAACAAGGACAGGCTTCCACGATTCTGTTATCGTCTCCTGCCGCTGTAAAGCCACGTTCCCATCACCCCGTTTCCTGACCTCGAAGGGCTGACGGAGGCTGAAATCAAACGTCACTCACTCACCGATGTTATAGATCTCCGAACTGCCAAACCTCACCCCGCTTGGATTCAGCGTGCCGTCGCTGGAAAAGGGACGAGCGGAAAAGAACCGTTAAGGGATCCCCAAGGTTTCACGAAGCGGCCAGGCGGATGCAATTCATCTGGCTGTGCGCGAAGCCTGCTGGGTTAAAGAGGCCCCCAAAAGCCCCCGATCCTTAAGCCAGCGCTTGATCGCCTTACAAGAAATGGTTGTTTTATTCAGAGGCACCGCCATTAGTCCCAGGGTTTATCCAGCTTTTAATAAGAAGCTCCTAGTTTTGCAGAGCGCACTGGAACTTTCTCTGGATATTACAGGCGGGTGAACTGGAAACGGTGGAGAGGGAGGGGGAATAAGAATCCTATCGAAGTTTCATCGGGAAAATGGAAAGCAAATCCAAGAAACAGAAGGACCTGCCTTTTACTAGCCGCCCCCCCCCCCGGCTTGCAAATTAATTTTTTTCCCCCAGCCCTACCCAACATTTTTATTTACTTATTTTATTTTAATCGTTGTACGCCGCCCAGAATTGCTTTGTGCGATGGGCAGCTACAGAAATGCGATGTATAAATAAATAAACAAATAATAATAATTTTTTTTAAATGGACTTGGAATCTTCTGCAGGCAAAGAAGGAATTCTGCCTCTGCTCTACAACTGATCTCCGGTACTCCAGCCTTCCCTCAACCCGTCCTCCGCCAACGGAGACACAGGAAGACATTTTCCAAACGGGTTGAGTCAGTTAGTTAGTGAGTTAGCTCTGGTGAAAAGCTCACCTGCGGCCCAGCATGACGATACCTCCCGTCTGCGGGTTAATTTTGCAGTAGTCTCCGTGGGCCCAAACACCTGTCCGGAAAAACCCACAAGGAGGTCAGCCACGTCTCCAAACGGAGATCCCACTTACCTGAGATCCACCAACTGGTTGGATCGTTCCTACAAACAAGGTGGTTTAGGAAATGGACCGACAAGCTGAACACTTGTCAGTCCGTTCAGGAAAAAGTAAAACAAGTTGGCATGTGGTTAAACCAGGCTTTGAATCATCTGCCTTTCTCATCATCAACCACTGCAATTCAACATCATGGAGGAGAACATCTCCCAAATGTTGGGAGAAATAAGGGAAGCCAGCAGCCAGAAAGTTCCTAGCTTAAAAGTTGGAATGGTAGGTGTCTAATCCTTAATAAACACGCTCCAGTTTATGCGGGGGGGGGGAACGTTTGGCCCCTTGACCCCAACCCTCAGAAATCTGAGCTTTTCTGCAGGACGTAGCAATGTTGGTTGAATGGAGGTATCTTTGGGGGGACTGGCTCTGCCCGTGACAAAATTGCAGCTGAAACTCCAGGGTTGACATCGGAAGATAATTAAGTCCCAGGATTGGCCATGTCTAGCATTATACCCAAAACAAAAAAGCTCCTTGCCCCAAAATAAATCTTGAGGTGGCTCCCTTGCAGATCTCAGCTTATTATTATTTTTTTAATTTGCCAGTGTTGGACATGTTTATTGTTCTATATTTTCTTGCAGTTCGCCGCCCAGAGTCACTTCTTGTGAGATGGGTGGCCATATACATTGGATAAAGAAAAGAAAGAAAGAAATCTGGGGCCATTGCTTCTTGGGCACACTTTTAAAGATCGTAATCCACTTGATCCATCCCTGGGAAAACTTTACATATATACTTTGCTGGTCTTTGGGCAGAAAGAGTTTGTCACTTCCTCCTAGCAGGAGCACATATACAATCTTGACGATGCTGCGAGAGAGTTGTGAAAAACTCATTTTTTAACCACCGCCCACGTCAGGGTCTTGCCACCTTTCGAAGAAGGATATGCTCTGGTTTCGTGCATTGGGACAGACTAAAAGGGACGGCCGTGCGGATGAGATCGCGAGGAAAAGCCTCCCCCCCCCAGATGTTTGCAAACTCGAGCACAATGCCAGCCTCGGGGGCTCCCTCCTTCTCTTTTCTGCTTTGGAAAATGAAACCGGTTGGGAGGCCAGCTCACTTCAGAAGCCAGCAAGGTGCAGTTCAAGAAGGAAAGGTCAAACGTCCTCCTCTTTCGCCGGCAGAGTGAAACAAACTCAGAAAGTCAAACAGAGAAAAGGATCTGGATGTCGGTCCTATCAAATTGGCAATTCTCCAGGCAAATATTGATCCGCACAGCAATTCTCAGTGAGTGTGTCCAAATATTAGTTTATCCATAAAGCACTAGCGAGGCCAGAAAGCAAACAGACATAAACACACACACACACACACACCCCTCAGCCCGAAAGGCATGCATCTCTCGCTACAAACCTGGAAATCTGGAAAAATACGCCTTCCGGTATTTGCTTCCATTCTCATCGTTCCAAAAATGGGTCGGCTGACAGGGTAGAGGCTTGGTGCAAACCAGCTCCCCGCTTTCTCCCCAAACAGGCTTGCCTGGTTGAAGAATCAAATAAAAGGTTATTTCCCCAGCCTAACGATCCATAACTGTTTACGTTGCGTTTAGCGCAAGGACTGCTGAGGAATACTTCCGTTTCTCTCCCAACAACAGCAGAGGTTCACAAAATTAAAGCCGGAAAACTACTTTCTTCCCATGGATTCCTGCTCCTCACCCATCAGATCTACTTATTTAGGCGATCTAGTGGTTCTCTTCAAGAGGCACGCCATTTTTTAAAAAGCAACGTAAAGAGAGACAATGCAAGAGTTCCCACTTTCTTTCCCTGTTCCAAGGGGGAATCTCCCAAGAATCAAGGAAGCAGATATGGTCCCCGATTCTGCAGCTGAAATATTGCCCTGATGGACTCCAATACCCAACAGCTACAAGTCAGGGCCAATGGCTCGCGTAGTGAAACATCGAAGGCAGCAGGGCGGTTTAGTTTACTGTGTTTTACTGAGAAAATTTAACCACCTAAAAGGAATCATGTGGGAATTGCAAAGGGTAGAGCTGGAATTTGGGAGAGGAAGGACCGTGAGAAGATGGCCATCAAACCGGTTCAGCTCCTATGGCCATCAAACCTTCTCCATCTTGACGGGAGAGGACAGAGTGATTCCTAATTTGAGTAATGATCCTCAGATGTTCCTAACCATGTGTTCTACTTCCACTGCTCTGATTTGCAACAAACCATCGTGGCAAAGTCCAGGAGGGTAAGGTGGATCGAACACACCTACCTTGCTCATTCCATGCCTCCACTGCCATTCCAAGATTCCGTGCCTGGATCTCGCCTTTGTAAACCGGAATGGTCACGTTATGACCCATGAAACAGGAAACTATATCGGTGCCTCCTACAATGAGAGAGAGAAAGAGTGTCTCCTCAGGACAGCTCACCAAAGGGTCACGATTCCTAAGCTCCATGTGCAAATCATGAGGGAACGTCTAGAAAAGTCTGTGTCGATGATCCTGGGCTGTCCATAAGTCATAGCTAGCTCTCATACCTTGCCTGTAGTGGCATGTCCAGTACCCAGGTCAAGAACATCTCTTGGGGAGCTAATGCTGATTAAAAACCTCAATACTTCATTAGGCCTAAGGTGGTTTCAGTGTCCAGCAAGAGCCTGGTAACAGCCAGTGTGGGTGCAGTGGAGACATCCAGATTCTCGCTGATCTTCAATCATGGAGGTTCACTTAGTGACTTTGGGCCACCTCCTCTCTCTCTCAGCCAAACAGCCAGCATGGTTTAATGGGGAAGGTGCTCGATCCTGGGCAGGGTGAGACCCTGGATCCCCCCCTAGCTCCTGGACCCCCTAGGATCCTGACCTTGGGCCAGTCACAGTCACTCAGCATTGGAAAGGACTCCAGTAACCTGAATTTCCATAACACGCTGCCCATGAGTTGAACCATGGATTAATGAATTACCCAAGCCACCTACGTTTGCACAAAGAGCGAAGCATCCACTAACCATTGCCGGATTTATGTTGTATTGGCACTGGAGAAACCAAAAGCATCTTTGAGCCGGTCACTCACTCCCAGCCCAACCTACCTCGTACGTTTGTGAGGAAAAATGAGTGGCCGGGTATAAATCTAGTCAACCAACCAACCAAAAAAACGACTGAGATAATTTAGGTTAAAAAAAGCAGGCAAGATGGTGTGGGGATCAGCGATGTGCCTCGTCCTTCTCACTGGCCCCTGCACAATCTAAGCCAAGTCTCAAAATGCAACTTTTTGGTACCTGAAATGGAGCCCAGGAGAACGTTGCTCTTGATGTGCTGGTAGACGTACTCGTAACTTTGCGGCTTGAGGGGTGACCCAGTTGACAGGATGGCTTGGAGAGTCTGAAGGTTGTGGGTTTCACCTTGAGAAGAAAACACCCGAGACGTAAATCCATCTCCACCCTCCCTCTGTTTCAGCAGTGTTGTGACGTTCGGGCAGCTGCACTCTCTCTCCCCCATTTCCAGTTGTTGATCTGCCCTAATCGGAGCCGGGACTTCCAAGCGTTGAAGTCAAACGCTTTTGATGGACTCCAGACTGAACGAAGAGAAGGAGAATCAGCAGCCGTTGGGAAATTCTAAACTCGGGGCCGCAGACTAAGGGGGCGCAGAACGTTCCATGCTCCAAACGTCTCCAAAGCCGCTCGGGTTGTTCCCACTTGACTCAAAACGCCTCCAACCGCTGCACGAGCGTTTCAACCAAGGGCTTACAAGATGGTTGCAACAGCCCTGCGACCGTTTCCACCGAGGTCAAGAAAACCCACTTCAAGCTTCAAGCAACCGTTTCAATGCCGGAGCTCATGTTTAAGTGAGTTCCTCAGAATCCTGCCACTTACCAATTGATTTTCCTTTCATTCTGCTAAGGAGGTCCTGAGAGGCATCGCTGCCCGGCTTGCGATAAGGTGGCCGCTCTTTAGAAACATTATGGGATGGAACGAGCGGTGGGCAGGAGGGGGCTAGGCTCCAAAATCAAAAGGGAACAAGAGAAGGGCAACTGGGTTCAATCACCCAACTTTCAGCCACAACACGGCGGGTTCCTGTACGGCTTGGGGCCATGCGTGAGCTAAGCCGAACCACGGTTGAACAAACCAGAGTTTAGGGTGATGCAAAAACCCAGCCGGTTGCTTTGATACTTACACGGTTTCAGGTTTTTCTCTTCCAGCACTGCCAACCACTTGGCGCCGGTCCCGAGGATGGTAATTCTGTGGCCAGAGAAGAAAAAGTCTTGTTTATACATCAGTAACCTCAGCCATGAACTTTTCAAGTGATCTCAGGGAATTAATTTCTACTGAAAGTGAAGGATGTGCAAAGGGGAACGTGACCTCCATGTAGAAAAACTGGAGGGCCCCATTTGCAGCACATTAGGGAAGATTGTTCACCCCCATCAAAAAGCAACAAATTAGGGAAGACTAATCAAAAAGCAATTCTAAGTCTACTTCTCTAAAACTGCAAATTCAGCTAAGCAAGAGATCCCACCCAAAAAAATTATCTAGGGCAGTATTTCCCAACCTTGGGAACTTCAAGAGGTGTGGCTGGGGAATTCTGGGAGTTGAAGTCCACACCTCTTGAAGTTCCCAAGGCTGAGAAACACTGATCTGGGGGGTTTCCTTTTCTTCTTCTGAAAGCTCGTCAACCTTGTTTATCAACACCTTGAGAGGCCAAAGCCTTTGAAAACACACCAGGGTCCATCTGGAGATACTACAGATGGCTTGCCAGTCAGGGCTGATGGTTTACGTACCCCAAGCGATCCACCAAGTCCCACAAGACGTTGGGAGAGGGAACGAGGGGCGAGCCGTCGTACAGGACCACCGACGCCCCCACCGCGAGAGCAGACACCAGCCAGTTCCACATCATCCAGCCGGTCTAGGGTAAAAAGACAGAAATTAACCTCCCCCATCTTCTGTAGATCAGGCAGCGGCCGCTTTCATCGGCTTCTAGACCTGCAAAGACCCATTTGCCCTTCTCCAAGGCGCCCCAAGCAAAGGGACACACTGCCAGCCAACGGGTCATGTGCCAAGCCTGGTGCAAATTCCCAAGTCGCATGCAAAGCAGGGCCCCCTCCCACCCCCAACTCCCCCCAGGCAGAAGAACCGGCTGTCTGAGCGTTCCAGATACCATCTGGAAAAGAGGGTTGGAGCAGAGTCCAAACAACGCCCTTCTGGAAACACACCAACCAGCCCAAATAATTTCTAGGAGGCGACAGCACGTCCCTGAAGACAAACACGCCCTTCTGCACCCCTGCAAAGCGCCCGTTGAATTTACGATTAAAAGAATGGATTTTAATAAACTCAGAGGAGTCCTAGTGAGTTGAACACCAGACGTCCCAATATATGGGGGGGGGGGAACGACGAGAGAGAGAGAAAGCATATAATTCACGTACTTATCCAAGCTACAAGTAGCACGTTCTATTTTAAGAGGTGTTTAAAATACTTCCCCCATCGCTTGCTAAAATACACCTTTTAAAATAAGCAAGGAAAGTCCATTTTTGCCGGAGTTTACTCTCATGCAAACTTAATCATGGCTCTTATCAAGCTGGGAGCTAAACACCTTGGAGGATTAATAGACGACTATTTCATTAAAACAGAGCAATAGCCGTATTTTTTATTTAGTTACACACACACACACACACTTTTGGTGTTGTTTTATCTAGAGACAGAGATAACATCAGCATTTTTATTCCAGGGAGGTAGTCGGCAAATTTAAGCCCACTCCACTCTGTTAATGGAAGCTCCAAAAAGCTTGTGCATCAGCTGAGAATTTTAGGTGCCAAAATACACCCTAAAAAATTGGGATCAGCTGATCTGCAAGTATATATGGTAATACTTTTAAAAAGTACCCGTATATACTTGCTTTTAAGCCCGTCCACGGATAAGCAGACCCTCAAATTTTTAACCAGAAGCCCGTGAAAAATGCACCACCCACAGATAAGCCAATTGCGAAAATTTAAACATACGAAAATTTCAAGGGTCGGCTTATCCGCGGATGGGCTTATCCACGAGTAGGTAGAGAAATGGTTTTTAATCTATGTTAATCTAGCGCTGATCTAATCTAGTCCCCTTGGAGAGCAACGCAGGTTTCTCTTTAAGCCAGAGACGTGCACAGCTGGGGCATCCAGGCAACTCCAAAGGGTGCCCTGTTTGAAGCCTTTCCCCGACTTAATATTTGTTCCTTGTATTTAAAAAAGAAAAAAAAAAGTCCCTTGCCGTGGTGTAGTAGATGATGGTGTCATTACTGCTCATGTTCCCGTGAAGGATGTGCTCCTTCAGGTGCTGAATCAAAGTGCCCTGGAGAGGCAAAAGAAGTTAAAAAATTAGAGAGGAGAATGTCTCTTGCAGAAAAGTTTCAATGGTATTAAAAAGCTAAACTCAGCCCTGCCCACCCGAAACAGAGACCAGGGTCCAAGCAACCTGGGCACAAACTAGTTCCCAACGATTCTGGAGCGTTCGCTTTCTCGCAGCCCACCCGAGGAGCGTTCGGTCCAATCCGGCAAACAGCCATGAGACGGTTCGCGTACGAACGCGGGTGAAGAAACAGACGAATCAAGTCGATCCGCTCGAGCATGCGGTCCAGGGCAAACCACTGATTGGCTTCAGAGCATCCATTCACAGCCCTGATGCGGACCCCTGGCTCGACAAAAGCACGTGCAAAAGTCCCCCGGGTGCTCTGCGTCTACTCGAAGCCGCTTTCGTCAATTTCCCAACGGCCTGGCCGATTTAATTCGACAAGCGCTCCCCCCGAACGGAAGTTCTGCAGAGTGGTTCTTTCAATGAAACAGCAAGGAGAGGAGCTTCCTGGAAGCTGCAGGTAGAAAGCTAGCACGCCAAGCGGTCTCATTCTAGACCATCCCCTTAGGGCCCATCTCTCTACTTGCAAGGGACCTTCAATGTAAAACGCATCGAGGGCTGCAATTCCACAACTGCTAAATAACATGTTCTTGTTCCCTCCGGCTCCTGCTGCCTTATTCTGGGGGAAAGGGGGTTGGATCCATTGCAACATGTAAACAAAATCCAAAAATTAAATTTAGATTTAACTTGCATGCTGGATTAGCCAAAGTTTCTCTCTCTTACACACACACACACACGACTTCTTGTTATGGCTCTCAAATGGTTTAAGCATAAACTCCAGAAGAACGAAGACTCACCCCCGCTGAGTGGACCATACATTTAGGGGCTCCTGTTGTGCCTGACGAGTACATGATAAAGAGGGGGTGACTGAAGGGGAGCTGTTCGAACTCCAGCTGGGGGGCTTGGTCTCCCTTCCCCACTGCGAGGAAATCTTCCAGAAAGACACTGAGCAAAAAAAGGAAGAAAAAGAGTAAAATCAGAACTCCTGTAAGCACACTGCTAACTTTTCTTTATGCAACTGTCAGCCCTCCAAGGGGGACCAAATTTAGAAACCAAAGACACCCAAGCCAGTATCTTTATTATAAGGTTACAGGAACAGAACTTTGCAAGTCCGAATGTGCCTCCCCCGTCCCTCCCTATATCTTCATGAGAACTAGGGAGGGTCTTGCCTGAGACGCTTTCTCGGGTTACATTTCTGCGCCAGACTCAGATTTCTCTTATCTGACCCTTGTCTTCGTTGCGGCTCTTCCTCCTGTCCCTCAAGGTTATTCCTTCTTCCCATTCCATCAACACAGACCAGACCTTATGGATGAATTCACTTCCTTTAAATCCCTCTTCCCTTTATTTTGGAAAGAGCCCTTTCATGGCATTTGGGAACCGAGTTGAAAATAAAGGAAACGCTTTCATCCCCCTCCAGTTATCCTCATTTGGACCCATGAGGTGAAGACCCAGCTCTTTGGAGAGGTCTGCAATGGTGGGAAAGGTGGAAAGAAAGAGAAGAAAAGGCTGACCAGCAGCAAGGGGGATGGACTCAGTTACAGTGGCAATGGGGGCACCATTGGAAGAGCTGAAGTACCAGGCTGGGGACAGATCCCCTGGAGCAAATCCATCTATGTGGTCGCTAAGAGTCGACACCAACTTGAGGGCACATCGTCAATCAATCAATCAATCATCTCCCTCAAAGGAACGGCATTGTCTTGACAGCAAGGCAGAAGAGCTTTGCCAATGCTTTGGGGACTTGTTTCAATTTCCCAGTCCAGCCCACCACCCTGAGACTTTCTAGTGGTCTCCCATCCAAAGCCTGAAGCCACGTAGCTCTTTGGAGATCAGTCAGGAGCACGTAGGTGCCGCCCCCAGGCTTGAAAATCCTGCCAAGCAGAAGGAACGTGCAAGAAGGCAAATGATCGTGAAGGGAGGAAACACTTAGAGATTACAAGCTTTGGCGTAACGTAGGTACGATTGTGAGACCTGTGTAATAAAAACGCCCACAGGGAAGCTGGCTCACTACAGAAAATGTCTGGGCATGTTAAGTTTCAAAACGGGGGCGGGGGATAAGCAGGAGGAGCGTGACAGAAGATCCGGATTGTCACGATGCAGCCAGGGCTGGGGGATGAAGACAGCATCCAAGATGAGTCACAAAGCCACGGCGGATTTGCAGATGCAACGTCGCCACTCCTCTGTGCTCAAGGGAGCCATTAGAGGCACAACAGGCATGCTTGACCCATTAAAAGTGTTTGCCAAGAACGTGAGCCGGCCGACGAGTCCGTGTTAAGCTGGCAGAGCAAACGCGCCAAAAACAGCCTCCTCCTTGCTTTAAATAGCGCGTTTACGTTATTCGTGGTTCGTCTCCTCTGTTCACATCCTCCCCCCAAAAAAATCTAAGCAAAGAAAGATGTCAGAGCCCTTTTGAAAACCCCGCACCTATCCTCTCTTTCAAAGGCAGAGAAACCCACCAGCTGGATCCCCCCAAAGCAGCTGGGGGAAGGATTAAGGGGGTTAGAGGCTCCGTTTAAAACAGGTTTGGGCCCCCAGGGAAGGGTCCAACCGTCCTCTGAAAGCTGCAAAGGGGTGGCCCTTTTTGATGCCCAAGCAACGAGGAACTGCTCGACGTGAACGTCAAGTCCCCACCGAGGAAAGCTCTGGGTGGCCTGTGAGGACCGGACCAAAGCCGCGTTCCCTTTAGGTAAAAATTAAACGCCAACTCAGTCCTGTTCCCCCAAGTGAACTGTGAGGCAGGCGGTTCCTCTCAAAGCTGTATACCTGTTTGGAATTTTGGAAATATCTATGGATTCTCTTGAGGATACGTAGGGGATGACGACTACCTTTTTGAGATCCGGAAGTCCTAAAAAAAAGGGGGAAAATGCAAAGAGCGACGTGAAGGAAGACACCTGACTCTGACGTTTCAAGTCAGCTTTTTGTGCTGAAGGTCAGCCTAGCCAACCATGATTGAGTTCAGTCTAAGCCAGTATTTCTCAACCTTGGCAACTTTAAGATATGTGGACTGCAACTCCCAGAATTCCCCAGCCAGCCATGCTGGCTGGGGAATTCTGAGAGTCGAAGTCCACTGGTTTTAAAGTTGCCAAGATTGAGAAACACTGGTCGAAACAAAATACAGTCTATTGGAAGATTAACAAACTCAATCACCAAAAGACAAGATTATCCGCCTCCATTCAGGCCCACACAGGCTCTGCACGGCTCCAACCCACATTCATGATAAATAAGGGTTAACACCTTCTGTCAGTACATCACAAAGACTCTTTGGGGTTATAAAATTTGCAGCCGTGGGAATCTTGTTCTTCAGAAGTTTGTACATGCTTGAAACGGTCTCGCAAGCAGAGATAAATAAATGGCATTACTCTTTGTGACACTTGGAAGAAACATCTACATTTGGGTTGTAAGATAGGTGGATGTACATTTTTTAAGGAGGGAACAATATTCTGGGGAACTAATTTAATTGTTTTATATACAGCACCTGATTCACCATAATATAGTTCGAGTACCAAATTATAAACTCACGCACACAGAATATAAAACTCAGTTTCGAATATATACAGGAGCCAAATTTCAACTAAGGCTTGGGAAAAGAACCTTTTCCCTAACCCCATACCTCTATCCTTTTCTGTATATAATTTTTACTGAAAAACATGTTTTTACAGAGTTAAAAGCTACAGAAAAATAAACGAGAGAGAAAGAAATATAAAAAGAAAAAAAGGATAGAAAGATAGAAGAAAAAGGAACCACAGCGTAGCTCAAGAAAAGAGAAAAGATTTAAAGAAGCGACTTCTGATCTTCTTTGCTGCTGTTACAAACGTAGTTAATACTCCCTAACTAGATCCCTAATCCACACAGGGTACTCCGTAGGTAACACTGAGACAGACTTATCTAATTTACACATCCCCGCCAAATATTCAAACCATTTACATCCCATTCAAACGTAAGGGAGAGAAATCATTTTCCACCACGCAAAGCAGCCGATTTACCCTTGACAACGCTCTGCAGCTTTTCCAGGTGAGGGTGCCTTTTCCCGTTGTAAATGACAGCTTCGACAGAGAAGATCAGCTTGGGTTGAATTTGGGAGAATCTATCCAGGACACCCTGCATGCATATGTTTAGAAGGGAGCAGGCGTTAACAGAGAATTCAACAGGTGTGGACTAAAGGGTTTGCTCTCCCCCAGGCTGTCTAGCTCAGGTGGACCACGGTAGCTGCGACAGGCTCCTTCAGTGCACATCAGACCTGGGACTTGGATGTCCAAGACAGCTTTTCTCATGAACCAATGCAATCCCTCCTCATGTCCAGATGCGAAGGAGTTTTCGTTTACTCAGACAAGCCAGGACCTGTAGTAGGAACCGAGGACCCACGTGTCTCGGACACAACTTCCTAGCAGGGCCATCAGAGGGCTCAAGGAGAAGATACTGAAGGACCCATGGGTCTTCCCACCAAACATCTCCAGCTGAGCAGAAGCCAACCCATGTTAAACCACACCTACTTGCATGCTGCAACTTGTTTCAAATTTCACCACATTGATTCATTTTAAAATTAATTAATTAAACTCAGCCCATTCAGCTGAGATCCCAAGTGCAGGTCTAACACCCTAAATTAAAACGGAGGCAGGAAGAGGACCCTCCCCGCAACTCCGGATTTATAGGAGCCATGAATACAAGGACCAGATCCAAATTTCTCCTACGAGCTGAGTCTTCAGCTGAAAATGGTGGAGCTCGACTACCCTCTTCTGGTGATGCAATAAAAAGCATCTATTGCTTTCCTCAAAGGAGCTCCCCCCTTCATGAGAGAGCGCAAATGTAGAGGGAGGATTTGGGAGTGAGGTGCCGGATTGGGGTCACTCACGTTGATGCCAAAATCTGGCGATGTTGCACTCCATATGGCTCCTATGCTGGCAGCTGCGAGCATCGCTTCCACCGCGTGAGCACTGTTGGGCAAGTAACCTAGAAAGATTTGGAACAGGGAGGGGGGTGTTATGATTTTATAGTTATATAATTTAATGTTTCTACTGTGGATGTTTTAT